GCGACGCGGCCTCGCGGGCGGGGCGGCGCGGCGGCGCCGGCGCCGGCGCCGGCGCCGGCGCCGGCGCCGGCGCCGGCGCCGGCGCCGGCGCCGGCGCCGGCGCCGGCGCCGGCGCCGGCGCCGGCGCCGGCGCCGGCGCCGGCGCCGGCGCCGGCGCCGGCGCCGGCGCCGGCGCCGGCGCCGGCGCCGGCGCCGGCGCCGGCGCCGGCGCCGGCGCCGCCGGCGCCGGCGCCGGCGCCGCCGGCGCCGGCGCCGGCGCCGGCGCCGGCGCCGGCGCCGGCGCCGGCGCCGGCGCCGGCGCCGCCGGCGCCGGCGCCGGCGCCGGCGCCGGCGCCGGCGCCGGCGCCGGCGCCGGCGCCGGCGCCGGCGCCGGCGCCGGCGCCGGCGCCGCCGGCGCCGGCGCCGGCGCCGGCGCCGGCGCCGCCGGCGCCGGCGCCGGCGCCGGCGCCGGCGCCGCCGGCGCCGGCGCCGGCGCCGGCGCCGGCGCCGCCGGCGCCGGCGCCGGCGCCGGCGCCGGCGCCGGCGCCGGCGCCGGCGCCGGCGCCGGCGCCGGCGCCGGCGCCGGCGCCGGCGCCGGCGCCGGCGGCGCCGGCGCCGGCGCCGCCGGCGCCGGCGCCGGCGCCGGCGCCGGCGCCGGCGCCGGCGCCGGCGCCGCCGGCGCCGGCGCCGGCGCCGGCGGCGCCGGCGCCGGCGCCGCCGGCGCCGGCGCCGGCGCCGGCGCCGGCGCCGGCGCCGGCGCCGCCGGCGCCGGCGCCGGCGCCGGCGCCGGCGCCGGCGCCGGCGCCGGCGCCGCCGGCGCCGGCGCCGGCGCCGGCGCCGGCGCCGGCGCCGGCGCCGGCGCCGGCGCCGGCGCCGGCGCCGGCGCCGGCGCCGGCGCCGGCGCCGGCGCCGGCGCCGGCGCCGGCGCCGGCGCCGCCGGCGCCGGCGCCGCCGGCGCCGGCGCCGGCGCCGGCGCCGGCGCCGGCGCCGGCGCCGCCGGCGCCGGCGCCGCCGGCGCCGGCGCCGGCGCCGGCGCCGGCGCCGGCGCCGGCGCCGGCGCCGGCGCCGCCGGCGCCGGCGCCGGCGCCGGCGCCGGCGCCGCCGGCGCCGGCGCCGCCGGCGCCGGCGCCGGCGCCGCCGGCGCCGGCGCCGGCGCCGGCGCCGGCGCCGGCGCCGGCGCCGGCGCCGGCGCCGGCGCCGGCGCCGGCGCCGGCGCCGGCGCCGGCGCCGGCGCCGGCGCCGCCGGCGCCGGCGCCGCCGGCGCCGGCGCCGGCGCCGGCGCCGGCGCCGGCGCCGGCGCCGGCGCCGGCGCCGGCGCCGGCGCCGGCGCCGGCGCCGGCGCCGGCGCCGGCGCCGCCGGCGCCGGCGCCGGCGCCGGCGCCGGCGCCGGCGCCGGCGCCGCCGGCGCCGGCGCCGGCGCCGGCGCCGGCGGCGCCGGCGCCGGCGCCGGCGCCGGCGCCGGCGCCGCCGGCGCCGGCGCCGGCGCCGGCGCCGGCGCCGGCGCCGGCGCCGGCGCCGGCGCCGGCGCCGGCGCCGGCGCCGGCGCCGGCGCCGGCGCCGGCGCCGGCGCCGGCGCCGCCGGCGCCGGCGCCGGCGCCGGCGCCGGCGCCGGCGCCGGCGCCGCCGGCGCCGGCGCCGCCGGCGCCGGCGCCGGCGCCGGCGCCGGCGCCGGCGCCGGCGCCGGCGCCGCCGGCGCCGGCGCCGGCGCCGGCGCCGGCGCCGGCGCCGGCGCCGCCGGCGCCGGCGCCGGCGCCGCCGGCGCCGGCGCCGGCGCCGGCGCCGGCGCTCGTCGGCGGCGCCCCCGCCCCCCCCCCCGCCGCGCCCCCCGCCGCCGGCCCTCGCGCCGCGCCGCGCCCCCACCCGGCGACCCGCCCCCCCCGGCTGCGCCGACCGCCGCCGCCCGCCCCCCCGGGCTGGGCTGCTGGCCTCCTCCCCCCCCCCCCTCCCCCCCGCCCGCCTCCGCCGCCCCGCGACGCCGGTCGGCGCACGCCGCCCGCAGCCCCCGCGCCGGCCCGCGCCCTGGGTCTCCGGACCCCGAGCCCCGGCCCGAGCCCCCCCGCGCCCCCGCCTGTCGCCCCCCCCGCACCCCGGGCCCGCCCGCCCCCCCGCGCCCCGCGGACGCCCCCCCGCCCCCGCGCGACCGCCCGCCGGCCGCCTCACCGCGCCCCCACCGGCCCCCCGCACCCCCGCGCACCACCCCCGCGCCCGGCCGCCTACGCCCGCGCCCCGACACACCCCCGCCGGCCGCCGCCACCCTGCCGCCCCCCCGAACCCGCTCCCCGCCCCCCCCGCCGCCGCGCCCGCGCGCCCCTCGCGCGGCGACCCCCCGCTGCCCGCCCCCCCGCGCGCCCCCCCGGCCCCGCCGCCCCCCGTGCCGCGCCGCGCCGCCCGACCCCCGCGGCCCGCGCCCCGCCTCCCCCCGCCCGCGGCGCCCCGCCCCCCCCGCCGCCCGCCCCCGCCCCGCCGGCCGCGCGGCCCCCCCGACGCGCCGCGCCCCCCCCCCGCCGCCCCTCCCCGCCCGCGGCCCCGACCCGCGCGCCCCGCCCCGCCGCCGCCGCCCGCCCAGCCGCCCCCCGGGCCCCCTCGGCCCGTCCGCGCGCCGCCGCGCGCCCGCCCCCGCCCGACTCGGGCGCCGTCCGCCGCCCCTGCCTCCCCCGCGACAGCCGCGACCCCGCCGCCCCCCACGACCCCCGCTCGCCCGCCGCGCGCGCCGCGCGCCCGCCGCGCGCGACCCGCCGACGCGGCGCCGCGCCGGCGCCGGCCCGCCCGCCGCAGCTCGCCCCGCGCTTGACCGGGCCCCCGCCGCGCCCGCACCCGCGGCGGCGCCGCGGCGCCCCCCCGGCGGCCGCGCCGGCGCTCGCCCCCCCTGCGACGGCGCCCAGCCGCCCCCCGGCCCGCTCTGCGCCCCGCGCATCCGCGACCCAGGCCCCCGGCGGCCCCGCCCGCCCGCGCCCCTTACCGCCGCCGGGCCGCCGGCCGCGCCCCGCCCCGCGCGGCGCGCCGACCCTGACCCCCCTCGGCTCCCTCCCGCCCCCCGCTGGTGCCCGCCTCGGACCCCTCGTACGACCCGCCGCCGCGCGCCGCCCCCCCCGCGCCCCCGCCCTCCCCCCCGGTCCCGCGCCCCGCCCCCCCCACCGCCGTCCCCCGCCCCGCCGACCGCCCCAGCCAGTACTCCGGCCGGGTCCCCGCCCCACGCCGTGCGCGGTCGCGCCCCCCGCGACCCCCGTCGCCGCGCGCGCCCCGCCGCCCGGCAGCCCGGCGCCGCGGCCCGACGCCGCCCCCCCGCTGTCTGCCCGCGCCGCCCCCCCGCCCCGTCCCCCGGCCGCACCAGCCGCCCCCGCTGCGGCTGCCCGGCCGCCTCCCCCAGCGCTCCCGCCCCGCCCACCGCCGCGCCGCGGGCCGCCCGACGCCCGCGCCCCCGCCGCCCCGCCGCCGCCCACCCGCCGCCCCACCACCGGCCCCCCCGCCCGCGCCCGCCCGGCCCCGCGACGGCCCCCCGTCCCGCTGACCCCCGACCCTCGGCCCCGCCGCCCGGCCCGCCGCCGCCGCCGGCCCCCCCCGCGCTACGCCCCCGCCTCGTCCGACGCGCGCGCGCCCGCCCCCGCCCCCGCCCGCGCCCCGCCCCCGCCCACGCCCCTCGCCGCCGCCCCGCGCCCCGCCCCCCCCGCCGCGCGGCCCCCCCGCGCCCCCCAGACGCCGCCCCTCCCCCCCCCCGCGCCACCGCCGCGGGCCGGCCCCGCGCGCCGGCGCCGGCCCCGCGTCGGCCCCGCCGCGCCCCCCCCGACCCACGCGGCCCCGCCCCCCCGCGCCCCGACGACCCGCGCCGCCCCGCGCCCCCCGCGGCCCGGCCCTCGCGCGCCGCTCCCGCCCCGCCCCCGCCCCCGCGGCCGGCCGCGCCGCCCCCACGCCCCCCGCGCGCCGCCCACCGCCGGCGCCGCGCCGCGCCCCACGCGCCTCCGGCCGGCCGGCGGGCGCGCCGGCGCGGCCCGGGCCCCCCCCGCCGCCGCGCGCCGCCCCGCCCCCCCCCCGCCCCCCCCCCCCACCCCCCCCCCCCCCCCCCCCCACCCCCCTCCCCCCCCCCCGCCCCCCCCCCCCCCCCCGCCCCCCCTCCCCCGCCCCCCCCCCCCCCCTCGGCCCGCCCCCGCCCCCGTCCCCCCCCCCCCCCGCCCCCCCCCCCCCCCCACCCCCCGCCCCCCCCCCCCCCCCCCCGCCCCCCCACGCCCGCCCCCGCGCCCCCCCCCCCCCCGCCCCCCCCCCCGCCCCCCCCCCCCCCCCCCCCCCCCCCGCCCCCCCCCCCCCCCCCCCCCCCCCCCCCCCCCCCCGCCCCCCCCCCCCCCGCCCCCCGCCCCCCGAACCCCCCCCCCCCCCCCCCCCCCCCCCCCCCCCCCCCCCCCCCTCCCCCCCCCGCCGCCCCCCCCGCCCCGCCCCCCCCCCTCCCCCCCCACCCCCCCCCCCCCCCCCCCGCCCCCCCCCCCCCCCCCCCCCCCCCCCCCCCCCCCCCCCCCCCCCCCCCCCCCCCCCCCCCCCCCCCCCCCCCCCCCCCCCCCCCCCCCCCCCCCCCCCCCCCCCCGCCCCCCCCCCCGCCCCCCGCCCCCCCCCCCCCCCCCCCCCCCCCCCCCCCCCCCCCCCCCCCCCCCCCCCCCCCCCCCCCCCCCCCCCGCCCCCCCCCCCCCCCGCCCCCCCCCCCCCCCCCCCCCCCCCCCCCCCCCGCCCCCCCCCCCCCCCCCCCCCCCCCCCCCCCCGCCCCCCCCCCCCCCCCCCCCCCCCCCCCCCCCCCCGCCCCCCCCCCGCCCCCCCCCCCCCCCCCCCCCGCCCCCCCCCCCCCCCCCCCCCCCCCCCCCCCCCCCCCGCCCCCCCCCCCCCCCCCCCCCCCCCCCCCCCCCCGCCCCCCCCCCCCCCCCCCCCGCCCCCCCCCCCCCCCCCCCCCCCCCGCCCCCCCCCCCCCCCCCCCCCCCCCCCCCCCCCGCCCCCCCCCCCCGCCCCCCCCCCCCCCCCCCCCCCCCCCCCCCCCCCCCCCCCCCCCCCCCCCCCGCCCCCCCCCCCCGCCCCCCCCCCCCCCCCCCCCCCCCGCCCCCCCCCCCCCCCCCGCCCCCCCCCCCCCCCCCCCGCCCCCCCCCCCCCCCCCCCCCCGCCCCCCCCCCCCCCCCCCCCCCCCCCCCCCGCCCCCCCCCCCCCCCCCCCCGGCCCCCCCCCGCCCCCCCCCCCCCCCCCCCGCCCCCCCCCCCCCCCCCCCCCCCGCCCCCCCCCCCCCCGCCCCCCCCCCCCCCCCCCCCCCCCCCCCCCCCCCGCCGCCCCCCCCCCCCCCCCCCCGCCCCCCCCCCCCCCCCCCCCCCCGCGCCCCCCCCCCCCCGCCCCCACCCCCCCCCCCCCCCCCCCCCGCCCCCCCCCCCCCCCCCCCCCCCCCCCCCCCCCCCCCCCGCCCCCCCCCCGCCCCCCCCCCCCCCCCCCCCCCCCCCGCCCCCCCCCCCCCCCCCCCCCCCCCCCCCCCCCCCCCCCCCCCCCCCCCCCCCCCCCCCCCCCCCGCCCCCCCCCCCCCCCCCCCCCCCCCCCCCCCCCCCCCCCCCCCCCCCCCCCGCCCCCCCCCCCCCTCCCCCCCCCCCGCCCCCCCCCCCCCCCCCCCCCCCCCGCCCCCCCCCCCCCCCCCCCCCCCCCCCCCCCCCCGCCCCCCCGCCGCCCCCCCCCCCCCCACCCCCCCCCCCCCCCCCCCCCCCCCCCCCCCCCCCCCCCCCCGCCCCCCCCCCCGCCCCCCCCCCCCGCCCCCCCCCCCCCCCCCCCCCCCCCCCCCCCCCCCCCCCCCCGCCCCCCCCCCCCCCCCCCCCCCCCCCCCCCCCCCCCCCCCCCCCCCCCCCCCCCCCCCCCCCCCCCCCCCCCCCCCCCCCCCCCCCCTCCCCCCCCCCCCCCCCCCCCCCCCCCCCCCCCCCGCCCCCCCCCCCCCCCCCCCGCCCCCCCCCCCCCCCCCCCCCCCCCCCCCCCCCCCCCCCCCCGCCCCCCCCCCCCCCCCCCCCCCCCCCCCCCCCCCCCCCGCCCCCCCCCCCCCCCCCGCCCCCCCCCCCCCCCCCCCCCCCCCCCCCCCCCCCCCCCCCCCCCCCCCCCCCCCCCCCCCCCCCCCCCCCCCCCCGCCCCCCCCCCCCCCCCCCCCCCCCCCCCCCCCCCCCCCGCCCCCCCCCCCCCCCCCCCCCCCCCCCCCCCCCCCCCCCCCCCCCCCCCCCCCCCCCCCCCCCCCCCCCCCCCCCCCCCCCTCCCCCCCCCCCCCCCCCCCCCCCCCCCCCCCCGCCCGCCCGCGCGCGCGCGCGCGCGCGCGCGCGCGCGCGCGCGCGCGCGCGCGCGCGCGCGCGCGCGCGCGCGCGCGCGCGCGCGCGCGCAGCGCGCGCGCGCGCGCGCGCGCGCGCGCGCGCGCGCGCGCGCGCGCGCGCGCGCGCGCGCGCGCGCGCGCGCGCGCGCGCGCGCGCGCGCGCGCGCGCCGCGCGCGCGCGCGCGCGCGCGCGCGCGCGCGCGCGCGCGCGCGCGCGCGCGCGCGCCGCGCGCGCGCGCGCGCGCGCGCGCGCGCGCGCGCGCGCGCGCGCGCGCGCGCGCGCGCGCGCGCGCGCGCGCGCGCGCGGCGCGCGCGCGCGCGCGCGCGCGCGCCGCGCGCGCGCGCGCGCGCGCGCGCGCGCGCGCGCGCGCGCGCGCGCGCGCGCGCGCGCGCGCGCGCGCGCGCGCGCGCGCGCGCGCGCGCGCGCGCGCGCGCGCGCGCGCGCGCGCGCGCGCGCGCGCGCGCGCGCGCGCGCGCGCGCGCGCGCGCGCGCGCGCGCGCGCGCGCGCGCGCGCGCGCGCGCGCGCGCGCGCGCGCGCGCGCGCGCGCGCGCGCGCGCGCGCGCGCGCGCGCGCGCGCGCGCGCGCGCGCGCGCGCGCGCGCGCGCGCGCGCGCGCGCGCGCGCGCGCGCGCGCGCGCGCGCGCGCGCGCGCGCGCGCGCGCGCGCGCGCGCGCGCGCGCGCGCGCGCGCGCGCGCGCCGCGCGCGCGCGCGCGCGCGCGCGCGCGCGCGCGCGCGCGCGCGCGCGCGCGCGCGCGCGCGCGCGCGCGCGCGCGCGCGCGCGCGCGCAGCGCGCGCGCGCGCGCGCGCGCGCGCGCGCGCGCGCGCGCGCGCGCGCGCGCGCGCGCGCGCGCGCGGCGCGCGCGCGCGCGCGCGCGCGCGCGCGCGCGCGGCGCCGCGCGCGCGCGCGCGCGCGCGCGCGCGCGCGCGCGCGCGCGCGCGCGCGCGCGCGCGCGCGCGCGCGCGCGCGCGCGCGCGCGCGCGCGCGCGCGCGCGCGCGCGCGCGCGCGCGCGCGCGCGCGCGCGCGCGCGCGCGCGCGCGCGCGCGCGCGCGCGCGCGCGCGGCGCGCGCGCGCGCGCGCGCGCCCGCGCGCGCGCGCGCGCGCGCGCGCGCGCGCGCCGCGCGCGCGCGCGCGCGCGCGCGCGCGCGCGCGCGCGCGCGCGCGCGCGCGCGCGCGCGCGCGCGCGCGCGCGCGCGCGCCGCGCGCGCGCGGCGCGCCGCGCGCGCGCGCGGCGCGCGCGCGCGCGCGCGGCGCGCGGCGCGCGCGCGCCGCGCGCGCGCGCGCGCCGCGCGCGCGCCGCGCGCGCGCGCGCGCGCGCGCGCGCGCGCGCGCGCCGCGCGCGCCGCGCGCGCGCGCGCGCGCGCGCGCGCGCGCGCGCGCGCGCGCGCGCGCCGCGCGCGCGCGGCGCGCGCGCGCGCGCGCCGCGCGCGCTCGCGCGCGCGCGCGGCCGCGCGCGCGCGCGCGCGCGCGCGCGCGCGCGCGCGCCGCGCGCGCGCGCGCGCCGCGCGCGCGCGCGCGCGCGCGCGCGCCGCGCGCGCGCGCGCGCGCGCGCGCGCGCGCGCGCGCGCGCGCGCGCGCGCGCGCGCGCGCGCGCGCGCGCGCGCGCGCGCGCGCGCCGCGCGCGCGCGCGCGCGCGCGCGCGCGCGCGCGCGCCGCGCGCGCGCGCGCGCGCGCGCGCGCGCGCGCGCGCGCGCGCGCGCGCGCGCGCGCGCGCGCGCGCGCGCGCGCGCGCGCGCGCGCGCGCGCGCGCGCGCGCGCGCGCGCGCGCGCGCGCGCGCGCGCGCGCGCGCGCGCGCGCGCCGCGCGCGCGCGCGCGCGCGCGCGCGCGCGCGCGCGCGCGCGCGCGCGCGCGCGCGCGCGCGCGCGCGCGCGCGCGCGCGCGCGCGCGCGCGCGCGCGCGCGCCGCGCGCGCGCGCGCGCGCGCGCGCGCGCGCGCGCGCGCGCGCGCGCGCGCGCGCGCGCGCGCGCGCGCGCGCGCGCGGCGCGCGCGCGCGCGCGCGCGCGCGCGCGCGCGCGCGCGCGCGCGCGCGCGCGCGCGCGCGCGCCGCGCGCGCGCGCGCGCGCGCGCGCGCGCGCGCGCGCGCGCGCGCGCGCGCGCGCGCGCGCGCGCGCGCGCGCGCGCGCGCGCGCCGCGCGCGCGCGCGCGCGCGCGCGCGCGCGCGCGCGCGCGCGCGCCGCCGCGCGCACGCGGACCGCGCGCGCGCGCCGCGCTGAC